CCTCCATCCCCCTACACCCCCTCCCTATCTCCGTCACCTCCTCCATCCCCCCTACACCCCTCCCTATCTCTGTCACCTCCTCCAGCCCCCTACACCCCCTCCAGCCCCCTACACCCCCTCCCTATCTCCGTCACCCCCTCCAGCCCACGGTGAGCTGGTGGGGTGATGGAGGAAGTGGAGGAGGATAGGGAGACATGGTGATGAGATGGAGGGTAAAGGGAGATAGTGAAGTGGTACAGAGTATGGTAGGGAGGAAAGGAGAGTAGTTGGAGGAGTACAGGAGGAAGTGGAGGGTGAGGGGAGGAGGTGGACGGAGTGGAGCTCGTGTGCTAGATGAGTGGAGGGGTAGGAGAAGGAGGTAGGGTGGAGGAAGGGAAGGGGCTAGGGGAGTGGAGGGGGGGTAAGTGGGAGAAGGGTAAGTGGGAGAAGGGTAGAGGAGGGGTGTAGGAGGGAGAGGAGTTTGAGGGTTGGGCGAGGATTATTTTTGATAGGGAGAGGGGTATGAGGGGTAGTTAAGAGGTAGGAGAGGAGTTTGAGTGTTAGGAGAGAATCTTGAGGGGTGTTGGAGGAGTTTGAGGGCTTGGGGAGGCGTTTGAGGGTTGGTGGTAGGGCTTGATGGGTGGGGGAGGGGTTTGAGGGGTATCGAGAGCGGTTTGAGGGGTAGGGAGAGGAGTTTGAGAGGTAGATGAGGAGTTCCAGGGGTAGATGAGGTGTCTGAGGGGTAGGGGAACAGGTTGAGGGGTGGAGAGGAGTTCGAGGGGTAGGGGAGGGGTTGAGAGGTACAGGAGGGTTTTGGGAGATCGATGAGGAGGCGGAGGGGTCGGTTGAGGAGGCGGAGGGGTCGGTTGAGGAGGCGGAGGGATCAGGGAGGAGGCGGAGGGGCTGGGGGAGGGGGCGGGGGGGGCGGGGGAGGGGGCGGGGGGGCCAGGGGAGGAGGCGTATGTTACCCGCAGAGGCACCAGAGGGTGAAGCCCAGGCCGCAGTAGGGATCGAGGCATAAGGCGATCTGCCGAGTGGAGTACAGCTCACACTGGAGTTTGATGGAGTGGCACAGCGCACTAACAGCAGCGTGGGAGATCTGAAAGACCGAGACACGGAGGGGAGGGTCAGTCCAGGCAGACAGTAACATCCACCTCCCTATCCTCCCATCCCCTCGCCTCGACCCTCCCCGCAATTAACTCCCTCGCTCCTGGTCTCTATCAGAGCTCGGGGCGACGGGGTGCAGCAGTGTCGAGGGCTGTGGGTGGAATTGTTTTCTGGCAGTTGTCCAATCTCATAGCAGACGGGTGTGTGTGTGACTGAGAGGGTGAGAGGTTACGAGACGGGGAGACGGTACGAGACGGACAGACAGCACGTGACAGAGAGCGCGAGAGGGACGGACGGGGAGGAGCGCGAGGGGGGAGAGGGACGGACAGGGAGAGGGGGAGACAGACGGACAGGGAGGGGAAAAGACAGCATGATTAAAAGTGTGTCTGTGTGTATGTGAGAGAGAGAG